TCAACTTCTTCAATCCAAAACTAGTACCACTCAATTCTTTATTTATTATGTCGAAAATTAATCGTCGGTCGAGCTTGACATAATATTCCTTCTTGAACTCATTTCGCGAACGTCATCAACCCAAGATTTTATGGGATACGATGACTGTAGAAAATATTGTTGGCACATCATGCACCTACATTACTTACCAAAATATCGAATATGTCGACCTACCAGAACAAGTCTCACCCATGATAAATCAAATAAGTGCTGACTACATATTCCCGTACATTGTCTTACGGGATAAGAATACGCATCTAAACACTGAAGTCTAGATTATATATTGGGTTAGTATAAAATAATATTATCCTCATGTGGGTCTGTTCAGTACATCCGGGATGTACTAGTGTAATATATTAGTCTAAGATAAACTAATTTCAAGAGTCACACTACGACAGAAAGTTTAGTTCTCGTCTAGACTGTGAAACATTATTTATCATTTACAAGAAATCGATAATATTATCTTATAGTTCCACACCCGAAACCATATTATCTACAAGGTAAAATAAAAGAACAATTTCCTCATAAATAAATTAACTACGAATATCCACTTGACTAAAAACACACATTTCATTCAAAATGGAATCGTTGGGTAACACGAGACCGAGCTTTTACATTATCCTCAAACAGAGGTGACGTTGGATGCAAGGTCGTAAAAAAATCTTGCTCCGCTATGAGCTCTTAGGTAATGAGTCTCTTTTTGGAACTTTAACCCATAAAAAAAAAAAAAGGTCAGGGGAAAATCTACTTTGTTTTATTTTGGAAATAAATATATTCGATACCATAAAGTGAATGGCGAGAATTGGTTCACAGGTACATTGTTCAAATTCCAAAGGGTTAGCAAGGCTGGATAAGAAAGCGGAGACAAAAAAGTACTTGATCTAAATAGAAGGTATAAAAAAGTTACTACATAGAGTATTAGGTTGGGGATGGGATCAACAATTTGAATAGGGATATCTACGACTTGAAAAGGTATACCTCTATGATAATATTCGACACTAGATGACCCTTGGGTAATGGAAGACCACTAATAACCTAAAGATTTTTGATCTCGTTCAAGCTCGTCCCACCCCACATCACCATCAGACTCATGAACCAGCACTCATGAACCTAGGCCAAACACTTCAAAACCTAAGAATTATAGGAAGTCAGATCAAAGCTAACAAAGGGGAAAACAATAAAGAATATGGAAGAAAAAAAAGAACACCAAAAATAAACAACATAAATTAAAAAAAAAAAAAANAAAAAAAAAAAAAAAAAAAAAAAGGAGAAGAACATGAACTTACTCACTGCGATTTAAGAAAGGGTGCCGGAAACTGTGAATGTCCACTGAAAAAGAAGGATGAGATCACCGAATATTGGATCTGTCGAGGGAGATCTATAGCCTAAGTTTTGTAAGAGAGTGAAAAGTGTTCCTATGACTAGAGAAGGAGCATTTATACTCGACCTAAGAAGTTGTGGACCCTCGGATTACGGACAAACTTGCGGCCCAAATCACGTACGAAAATCAAGGGCACGTACTTGGAAGCGACATAAGAGTCCTTTCGAGTCTACATTTATGGTTGGTGTGTCAGATAAGTCTTTTCGTATTCAAATCGTTGACATTACTCCATACCTCGGGGTTGCATGGAGTAGGTGGGGGGAGGGGATTGAGGGACTGCCTGATTTAGTCATAGCTCGGCTAAGTGGAACAGTGCAAAATATAAGGGTCAATTGGTTCAAGAGCTAAGCCAGGTCGACCTAAGGAGACCAAAAATGGAAAAACAACCGAAATAGATCAACCGATCAATGACCAAGTTGACCTAGTCACGCGGGCAACCTAAATAATCATGGTAATACAGGTAAAACCAAAGAGGAAGGGTGATATATCACCTATCATACACCACGACCTAAATATCTCAAACGACCTAAAGGGGCTTGGACGACTTGATAAAGACAAGATAACCTAAGTCCATGAGGTTTGCCATAGTTGGTCATGACGACCTAGGTAATCCTGGTCATAACTTGGTGAGCGGCCTAGGTAATCCTGGTCATGACGACCTAAGAGAAAAAGACATGAGTAAATAGGTGCATATTCAGGATAAAACAACAACATCAACAACAACAACAACAATAATAATAATAATAATAATAATAATAATAATAATAATAATAATAATAATAATAATAATAATAATAATAATAATAATAATAAAGAAAAAAAATCTAATGAAGATAAGAAGGAATCTATTGATGATAAGGATAAGCTTAGGATAAGGACGAGCAATCAACAAATAAGATCAAAACTCAGGCAACCTAAAGGATAAGGACGAGCAATCAACAAATAAGATCAAAACTCAGGCAGCCTAGTAGGTTGACCACGGACAAAGGGCAATTTGGGTTGCCAATCTCGGGCAGCAGGTATTCCCCTATAAAAAAAGGGATGAGGTACAACAACAAGCTCCATACGCTCTCTCTATAATTCTCTACATACAAAGCACATTTTTATCTATAATTCTCTACATCCAGAGCACATTATCATCTTTCTCCTTTTACTGACTTCATCGTCGAAGTGCGCACGCCGGAAACAATCCCGACACTTGTTTTGCAAGTAATCAGCAGCTCAGGGACGATCAAAGCAAAGGTCTCTCAAGCCGGTTCAACCAAGATTCAGGTCTCCGACACATCAATTAGTAATGTTTAGTTATGTGTAACAAAAAAAAAATGCTACGAGAAGAACAATCATGATGACAATCCCATTAACAAAATGAAATCATAATATGTTGATTATGTTCTAATGACGATCTTTCAAGAATGATGCAAAAATATTTTAGTTTATAAACTTCAATCACTTTTTGTCTTTATATAAATTCAATAGAATGTGACCTAACAGCGCCCGAGGCCTCGGTTGCTGAAAACCATATGCATTTCATTTAATAAAAGAGAATCTTACTTACACAACCACGTGTTCCTTATCTATGTAACATGCTGGTATGGGCCACTCTCTTTTTCTCCTCTTTTTATACTGAGGATGGCCAAAGTTACATTACTTGTGTCTAAATAGACTATCCTTGTTTGGTAGTTTGGTAATCCACGTTTAGCTGATAGCTGACAAGTGTACATAAAACGACAATTAGAGGTGCAAATTTTTCTCCAAGTCTTTTTCCATAATTACATTTAACATGCCAATGAATAATAATAGGCGATGAACATGTATTTTACTTTATGTATTTACACGGTAATGTGGCAATTTTAAATTCTTTATTTATGTTAGCAAATCCACATTATTATTGATGAACCAATTTCATTTTTTAACGTAAAGTAAGGTTCAAGTTTTTTCTTTGTCTTATTTTGCAAGACAGAATGTCATGGTTTGGACTTTATTTTCATTATAATTTAGAGAGATACTATGGTCTCGTTACGGAAACATTCCGTCGAGTATGAAATCGTTAAATCGATTATTCCGACAGTTATATAATGATCTAACGGTTACAAACCCTGACGAAATGGTTCCGTAACGGGACCGAACCATCTCATGTCCACTCCATCATTAAGTCTTAGCCTTTACTAGAGATGTTAAATGGGCTAGCCCTTGCAGTTTCGGGTTAGCCCTAGCGGACTTTGGGCTAAACGGTTCGGGCCTAAAAAGTTCGGATTTAAACGGGCTACCAATAAAAGGACCTAACCTAACCCTAGCGGGCTTCGGGCTAAACGGGCTATAATAATAATATTATATATAAAAACATATAAATAAAAATTACAACGGCGAGTTCACGATTGTTTTCAACGGGTATTTTGTATTTACCGCTCTATATATATACATTTACACTTCATATATGAACACTCGTTACAAACTCTTACGTGACATGTTTTTTCTAAAAAGAAAAAAAAATATTCGAACTATTACTTATAATTACCATTTTACTACTTATATTTGTACGCTTTGGAAATTTTCACGATATTGTATCTTACTGCTGAATTTATATTCTGTCACTATGTTCTATGTGTTAGGTCTTTCTCTCATGTGTTTTCTATTAACCGTTCTAACAGGCTTAAATAATTTGGTGTGGAGTAGAATAATGAAATGGTTAATAATTATCTTTCAAAATCATAATAACCGGCTACAACTCACAGTTACATATGAAGTAGAATAGTAAAGTTGTAATATACAAGTTAAACGGGCTAGCCCTAGCGGGCTTCGGGCTAGCCCTATCGGGCTTCGGTTTAAACGGTCGGGCCTAAAAAGCCCTGATTTAAATGGGCTGTTAAAAAAGGCCATAACCCTGTTTTTCTTCAGGCTAAACGGGTCGACCCGTCGGGCCAAGAACCGTTTAACATCTCTAGCCTTTACGTAATACTGATAGCAATATCTCCGCAAAAAGTGCTCATTTAATTTCCACGTACTCATTTGATCACTTGATTTGATCTTTTAATTACTAATAATACAACCTTTATTTTTGCATTAAATTCATTATTACATTAATTGTTTGTACGAAAGTCCACCTTAATTAATAAGCTTAATAAATAAATAATTTGGTAAAACTCAAGAGTTTTATTTTACATTTTTCGGTAGGTGGAAAAATTTAATTCTTGAAATTAATTAATTATTATAAAAATGTAAAAACTGCGTTCTTCCAAGTTGCAGGCGCAAGCAACAACAATCACATGGCCTTCAAAATGCAAGTGGCAAATAATAGACATAATTAAACAGCTCACAAATTACATAGACAAATTAAATATAAATATAAGGAAAATACGAGGATCTAAAAATAAATAAAAATACTTTTAACTGCAGCGAAACAAATTTGAATGTACAATTTCTCAAGCCTACAGTACTCTGGATTGATTTGATACATCAAGTGGAAAATAAGCAAAAAAAAGCCGATCGAAAATATAATTATGTAAACAACTTTGTATTTTATTTATTTATTTTTCAGCACTGTAACTTTGTACGCCTTTAAAGTTTTACCTTTAATTGTTCTTCATACACTGACGCTGCAACCCTGTGCGAGCTGGTACTTGATGGCGTTGCCGCCGCCGCCGCCGACGACGATCCCAGTGCTTTTGGAGTTTCCGAGGGGTATGTAGGCGGGGCAGGTGACGTGGATGTGGTATCTGCCGGAGACGAAGGTGCCGACCTTCCACTTGACGCGGCCGTCGATCTTGATTGTGAGGCGGACGGCGCCGGCGGACTGGTCCTGGGCGAGGGCGAGGCCGTTGTAAGGGGCGATGGGGACGTTGTTGGCGTAGATGAAAGGGGACCAGACGTTGAGGTCCTTGTGGCCCTGGTAGACGGCGGGGATGGCGGTGGCGTAGGTGATCTGCTGGTTGTGGTAGTTGGCGCGGACGGCGAGGCGGTCGTAGTAGATCCCGATGCGGGAGTTGGGGTTGTGGGAGGTGACGGTGACCTGGAGCGTGGTGGAGATGACGTTGGGGGCGGAGACGTTGAGGACGAAGATGGTGGCGTCCTGGAGGACGAAGCGGGGCTTGTGGGGTTGGAGGACGGCCCAGACGATGAGGATGACGAGGAGGAGCAGGACGATGAGGGCGCAGAGGCCGCCGCAGCACCGCTGGAGGATCTTCTGACGCTTGTTCTTGTGGTGGCTGCAGACTTTCTCCGACGACATGGTGGCCGGCGGCGGATTTTGGTAGGTTCTGGAAAT